AAGGATCTGCAAATACCAACCATGAAAGAATACGCAAAGAATTTGGCCAGGAGAACTTTCCAAAAAGTAGAAAACCATGATAACCCATTAATCAGAAGAGCAGTTGAATATGATGACGACAAAACCGACAGACCAGCCATAAAGAGACCGCGACTCCTCCTGCGAGAGGACTATTAAATAACGGACAGACAACCAAGAAACACAGATTGATTCACGAAAGGAACCACCCGAAAAATAACAGACAGGAGAATGGTCCAAAGTGAACATTCACTGACCTAAGTGGAGGGGTTTTAGTCGGTAGGTCCGAGAATGACTCGTCGGGCGGGCGACTGGGTGTCTATGAAGATTTCCCCTCCCCTACGAAAGAAAAAAAAAAAGAAAACAAAACAGAAGGAACGTTGTTGGTCAGTCTACTAGCAACCGCAGTAGCATACACCACGCTCTTTAGCTGTCAGAATCGTTCTCTAGCCAGTCCGCGCATTGAATCGACTACACCAGCGACTCTTCGTTCGTATAGGCCCATAATCGTTCTCGAGCCAGTCCGTGTCCTCGCACGACTACACCAGCGACTCTTCTAGACCAGCCCCGTCGTCATCGTACGAGCTCGAACCATTCGAGCTCGCACTTGTGAGTTCTTGAAGTCTACAAGGCATTGGCCAAGCCATTTTTAGGTAAGTTTTATTCAATTTATTATAACTAACCAACAGCTCTTTGGGACGGAGTACGCAAAGTCCCTCTGAACTCCCCTCACCCCCACTAATTCACACTAACAAGTAACCTATCATTTCCTTACATCTAAACATATACACCACGTCCCATACGAGTAGGTTAGCTCCGTCCGCCAGCCATTGCGAAATGGCTACACCCAAGAGCCCCGCACTCTTGGAGGGACTTTCCTTCGCGGAAATCATGTCCATGACGAGCGAGCTGCAGTCTAAGCTCGCCATAATCAACGATTATCTAAGGCTGCACCCCGAATATTCTCCTTCTAGTCCAATGTGCGAGGATGTTGGACCTTCCCCTGCTGGTCGGGCTGAATCATCCGATTCAAACCCCTCCCCCCCAACGCTGCCGGCTTCACTCAAGCCGGGAAGCGACGCAATAAGCGCGAAGACGTGCCACTTTCCTATCTTCGGCATCTCCAACGTCCTCTGAGACAGAGGCAGACACCGGCGCTACCAGCCAAAATAAAAAAGCCCCCCCCTTCGAAATCCAGCAAAAGTCCCTTTGGCCGAAAATTCTTCGCGCCATGGACAGCCACGGCATCGCCATTCATCGGGTGATAAATACAAAAGACTCTATAAGAATCTATCCCAATTCCGTGGACGATTTTCGTCGACTTTCATCGTTCCTCGACGAATCTAAAGTTGAGTTCTCTACGAACCAACTTAAGCAAGACCGTGACTTTGAAGACGTCAAAGCCGAGCATACGCACAAAGGCTTTACCATCCGCGGCGTCCACCGAATGTCAAACGGTGGGAAAATCTGGCCCTTGGTATCCGTTCGTCTGGACCGCTCCTCTCCCAAGTCCAAGTCAATCTTCGAACTTGGCAAGGTCTGCGGGCGAGGTAAAAGTTGAGCCGAAAGAGGCCACAAAAGACGTCCCGCAGTGACACGGCCCATTATTGTCACGCCGCATGGGTTTGCGCTTTCTGTGGTCGTAACCACATAACCGCAGAATGCAAAACCAAGGACAAGAAGGATGCCACTCCCACTTGTGCCAATTGTAAAGGCAACCATCGTGATACATACCGCGGCTGCCCCAAGATTCCAAAGAGAGTCGCCCCCTCCCATAAATCAGTAGTACCTCCCAATCCAAAGTCCACTCAAGCAGCGCCCCGCCCAACAGCCCTTCCCGGAAGGATGCTCCCCCAAAAATCCTACGCCAGGGCAGTGGCAGCAGCTCCGCCCCCTCCCCAAAAACGCATTGCGTCCCAAAACACCCCTTCAACTTCTTCTCGATGGTAGCAAGTCACCAATGTGTAACACAGCCCAGCCACATAACCTTCGAATAGTTACCTGGAATGCGCAAAGCATTAGAGGTAAATTGACCGAACTCAATCGGTGTTGCTTGCATCACCGAAACTCACCTGTCCGAAAAAATCAAACTTTTCGTCCCAAATTTCTAATCCTACAGAAGGGACCGCGATCACGGCAGTGCCGGCGGTGTAGCCATTCTTGTTAGGAGTTCTTTAAAGCATAGGCCTATCTCTTTGGCCACAAACTCGTTAGAAACAGTCGGCATCGAAATTTCGTTAACCACCGGCTCTCTTAGGACTATCTCTCTCTACTCCCCTCCACCGGACAGGGACCTTTCTAAACTCCCCCTTCTACCCCCCCAGGCGTTCCAACTATCGTCGCAGGCGATTTTAACGCCAAACACGTTTCTTGGGGCTGTTGACAAACCAACAATAAAATCACCTTCCTTCTTACCAAAATTCTTGACTTCAACCTCACAGTTGAAGCACCCTCTGACCCCACATTCGTCCCTGCCCCCCACCATCAATTCCCTGACATTCTTGACATTTTCGTCACGAAAAATGTCACACTTTCCGCCGATCCTATCGTAATACACGTATTAAGCTCGGACCACCTTCCAGCCCTTATTGAAGTCGGCCGCCCAATCCTCAACCCCCCCAAACCCAACCACGTCACTAGATTGGCTTCACCTTCGTTACACCCTTGAAACATCTTCATTCAAGTGCACTCCAATTCGCACAATAGCGGAACTTGACGAAGGTGTGAATCTACTTTCAAACGAGATTACCAGCGCAATCAAGATCTCCACTTCGCTCCGCTATTATTATGTGAACCTTGTAGCTTATATATGCAAGAATGGTACCTACGCAGTGATGTGAAACGTAGACAGGTACACATTTTTCTGTAATACCTACAATTTTCAAGAACATGGGTAGGTATGTGGTGTAACTAATATACAGTGCTGCAAAGTTTTGTAAAAAAAAAACAGCATCTGTATGTGCAAGTGAATTGCTGAAAATATTTCCTTTGTCCATTTCTTTTAATACACAAACGGTTGTATAAATATGTAAATATGCATCCTGATGAATATTTTTACTTTGTAAGACATTCTTCGCATTTGAAGGAGACAATTATAACTTCTGACAATTGTATATGTAACATACGGAAATTATTTAATGCACGTTCTTTTAGGGTGGTTATTTCTGCGTGATTGTACTACGTGACTTGTCTAATGCACATGTCCTTAAGTAAAATAATTGCGTTTTAATGAACACACTTAACCAATTAATGTAACATGGTACGGATTGCTGAAGACATTGCTTATGTAAATAGGTATGTATTCCTCCCCTTCTTGAAGGCCCTCATTGGTTCTCTAACCCCACATTATGTCGTGTACGCCCCTACAGTATTTTCTCATTGGTTTCCATTTTAAGGAAGTACGATAACTGCGATATAAAGGGAGTAATTCCATTGTAAAGGCAGATTGTTGTACGTTTATCGTCCGCTATACTTTCTTATCATTGCTGATATTTACTTGAAGTTGAAATTGTTGTTGTTTTAGTGTTTATTTAATTTTTTTACGTTTTTTTGTCTTTGATTTTGTGTTTACTTTTGTAGTGTAGTAAATACTAATAGTTTTTGTTACGTTTATCGTCCGCTATACTTTCTTATTATTGCTAATATTTAGTTGAAGTTGAAGTTGTTTTAGTGTTTATTTCATTTTTTTACCTTTTTCTTTTTCTTTCGTTTTGTGTGTAGCTTTGTAGTGTAGTAAATACTAATACTTTATCGTCCGCTATACTTTCTTATCATTACTAATATTTAGTTGAAGTTGAAGTTGTTTTAGTGTTTATTTCATTTTTTTTTTCTTTCATTTTGTGTGCAGCTTTGTAGTATAGTAAATACTAATAGTTTTTGTTACAGCAGGTTTTTCATACTTTGCGACAATGGTCTTTTATTGTGGTGTTGAAGGTTGCTCCAATACCAACGGGGATGTTCCTGTGCATTGGTCTCCCAAAGACGAAATGGTAAGGAACTGAATTTTCAATGTATATTTTTTACTAAAGTACACGTTACTTTGGCAATGATGGTTAATGTAGCCATTTCGTACGTATTACGTTTCCTATGGACTTGCACGATTTGCAACTGTGCATATTAAGAATTAATTTATCATTCCGACGTTTCGTCTGTGACTTATAGGAGATACAAGCGGAGACAAGAGTAGATACATAAAATTAGAAATTCGTGATTAATTACGTTTTGCAGCATATCATGAGGTAAATAAATACTATCTACTAAAAGAAAAGTATACCTAGTGTTGGAGAGAAAATTTGGAATTTGACCAAAAACTTTGAATAAAATAAGAAATAACGAATAATATGGAAAATTTTTAATTNAGGGATAGATGTGCAAGGGCAAAAGATTAGTATGCTTAGATTCGCAGATGATATAGCAGTATTAGCATCTAGCAAGGAGGACCTAGAGATAGCTTTAAATAAAATGGAAGCGGTACTGACAGATCAGTACTGTATGAAAATAAATAAAAGTAAAACTAAAATACTGATATGCAAGGGAAGAAAAAGTAGAGAAAGAGCGAATATAAAGATAGGAGACGAAAAATTAGAATAAGTGGCTGATTTTAGATATCTAGGAGGTCAGATAAGTCAGAACAGAAAGAGTTTCAATCTCTATTAATAATGAGCGTAAAACTTTTTAATATGTTTAAATAATAATTGAAACTTTAAAATTGCATTTATTTCAATTATAAATATTATCATTACATTATCAAGTAAAAACGATATTTTTAGCTAATATTAATTTTTTCGTCGATAACCATTTAGTGAATTTGAGTAACCGTACGCTAAACTGATTCTCCAGAGTTCAAATTACTTATTATAAAAGTTTGAAATTTGTGGTAGGTTTTTTGTGTTAAAAAAAAATTAATGTAATCTCCATAAAAAGATTTTTATTTGTCTTGTAACATTTAGACATAACTCCCAAACATCCTTAAGTTGCAACTTAATATTACGGTAATTAAATTTATTTTTCGTTGATCACAGGTTTATCAACTGTGGATTAAACGGGTTGGCCGTGCTGACTTGCTGCAGAAGCCCATGGACCATGTAAGGAGATCGTATCGCGTCTGTCACATCCACTTCGGACCGGAGAGTTTGTATCTTGGTCGGTGGAACAAATCCAGCGTAAAGCGGGATGGCGTCCCGACGTTATTTTTGGCAAACGCTTCTGCAGAGACAGGTAACTAATATCGTTTTTTCAACTTGTCCTCCATACTTTCATTATGTTTCATTTTATTAGTAAATCAATCTCGGCATATATGTCATTGTTATTGAGTGTACATTAAGAATGTATTAATATTTTCTTGCGGTTAATGACAGCCCTTCGTTTTTAAAAAGTAGTGCATGTACTTCTGTAGTGAGAAATATCATTCAAGAAGCTTTTCTTCCGTATACTGCTGTGTTTCCGTTTGCTGTAATTTTTTGTATTGACAGATGTCGCAAATTCCGACGCCACATCCGCCGATTCCTACGGACCAGTACCGACAGCGGCGTCTGCAATTGCAACCGGTCGGTTCCGTAATAATATGCCTGTTGTCTTCTCATTTACGCAATTAAAATTTCTTTACAGGTACTACATTTCCCGTCGACGCAGAGGCAACACCCGCCCAATTTACGTCTGTGGCCGAAAGTTCCGGTAAGTTACCGTATGTACTATATCACTATAATGCCATTGTACTTATTTTCAATTTTTTCATAGATGAGCTCCTTCGTATGGAAATAGAAGCGACACCCGGTCCGTCCACATCTGCACCTACAACTTCTGGTAAGTTGTCCCTCATTGCTTAGTTTTTTTTGTAAAGTGAATTTACATTTGTTGATAGATGATCCTTCTCAAATGGGACGTCGGTCACGCAAGCGCCCCTTTTTGGAGGGATTCCGGTACTTGTGGGATGTACTGAGGAAGGAGCGAGTGTCATTTCTTTGTCCGAGGAATCTCAATCAAGATTGTTTGGAGAACTTCTTTGGGTGCATTCGCAGTCATGGAGTACGGAACGTCAGTCCTAATGCGGCCGCTTTTGTCAATTCATTCAAGTCCCTCATAATTAATAATTATTTGGCAAACCGTTCCAAATCCTTTAACTGCGAGAGTGACAATTTACGGGCGTTTGATAATTTAAAACAATTCCTCTCCAGCAAAGTCACCACTACAACGGCCATACGATTTCCGGAAGTGACAATTCCCGAATACAGACCAACCGATACAACGTTATTGCGTAGGGGAACACTAACGTATGTGGCTGGTTTTGTTGCTAAAAGAGTGCTCTCTAAGGTGGCAAGGTGTAAGCAATGCAGACTGGATCTTTTGGGAGACGATCGGACTGCGAAGGAATATTTTGTAATTCAAGCGAGGGCTTACTCTCCTAATGCCCTGCTGTCTCCTACCTATTTACCTACTTCAGCACGTATTGCCTCAAATTTGCGCAGATGTAAATATTACTGGAGAGATGGAGATAGTGCTGAAGTATACAATGCAGCACGACAGTCGCTTCCACTGTACCCAGCATGATCTACAGTTGCTGCTGCTGCAGTATATTTGTAAATTCCACTTGTTCACATGGATTCAAAATATCAACAGGGTACTGCAAGGCAACGAAAAGGTGGGAACATCTCCGGATCCCATGAAACAATACGCGGCGAAGAAATACGCACAACACCAAAAGTTTCTACGCCGGAAGTAGACAATCGGTAAGTGTCATACATTTCTTGTTTATTACATATTTGCATGCTGCGGTATTACTAAAGAAAGTAGTTTCTCAATTTGTAACTATCATTGTACTTATTTTTACAGCTTTCACAGTTACCGACCATCGCTGTCCACCTGCAACCCTCTCCGTCTATTGCCACAAATTCCGGTAATTGTTGCCAAAAAGATTGGGTAACCTTCAGTTTTCATTCATACATTGTTGTCAACAGTATTCGGTGCGGTACCTCTATACCTATAATTTTCATTTTTTTTACAGATTTCACAGTCACAGATAATTTTCGCCACTCTACTAGCATCCCTTTAAGTTGTCCTGCCACAGTTTTTGGTAAGTTTTGCAAAAAAGGTTGACTAACCTTCAATTTTCATTCATACATTGTTGTCGACAGTATTCGGTGCGGTACCTCTATACCTATAATTTTCATTTTTTTTACAGATTTCACAGTCACA